TGTTGTAGAATCATAGAAAAAGTACTGAAGATCGAAGACATGAGATTCATGATCATTTTCTGGGATCGTACTTGAGAGTAGTCATCCTTTAAACCACGAAGAAATCGAATGACACAATTATCCTCTCTTTCTTTTTGGAGCTTTGCAAGAAGACCACAAGAACAAGATACAGGGCATTTACAAAGAACACACCGATAAAGTTCAATTTCTTTCCACAAATTTTTAATCTTGTGTAATAATCGGAAATAGATGAATCACCTTGTTTGCAATTCTGGATTTGATCTTGAAAATCGACAATGCAAAATTTGTCGGAATGTGAGAGTCTTTCTTTCAAATCTTTCCATATGTCTGAAGCATTGTCCATCCACATCATGGATTGCTTGATAGAGGTGTTCATGGAACGCGTCAACCAAGTCATCACCATGTGATTGCATCTACACCAGTGTTGTGAAGGGGCTCTGTGATTGGTGGACATGGAAGACTATCGGTGACGAATTGCTCTTTGTTTTTGGTTTCTAGGGCAACCATCATCTCTCGCTGCCATTGATGAAAATTATTTTCAATCAACAGAGGAGAGACGAGAATGAGCATCAGATTCTCACCGAGATGAAGATACAGAGGATTGGCCAGATTAATGAGGTGATCCGATGTTGGGTTGTTTTCGCTGAGTTTAGGCATGGTCGATTAACGAAAAACGAATAAAAAGATATGTGCGAAAGAGAAGAGGGATTTTAGCAATCTGATACCATATTAGAGTTTCTAATAACATAATGCATCTCTTTATTCATTTATCAACTTACTTTATAATGAATAAGAACTTAGTATATATATAGGCTAAGTTTGTAAAGGAAAGAAGAAAAAAAATAAACACATACAACTCAACTGTTTATACAACATAATCAATTAACCATTCAACTATCTCAAATATTTATAAAAAAAACATTTTTTATTAAATATCTTTTATCATATTTAAAAAATTATTAGTTATCACGTCAAATATCAAATCTATAATATGAATATTGTATTTCTTATATAATTTATCTCATACTAAAAAATAACATTATATTATTATGAATCTAATTATTAATTATTGTATCTATTAGATAAACAAATATTAATGTAATTTATAAAAATTGATAATATCAATCAAATTTGTTTTGTTTTTAAAAAGGAATCAATGTAATTTACTTGATAAAAAATTATTTAATAATAATAATAACATATGTTAATTTTTTTAAAAAGGTTAACATTGTTTTTGGTTTTAATTAAGAAATATAGAATAGACATCAACTTCAATTTAATAACTGATTTATGAAAAAAAATTTACTTATATTATTCAACATCATTATTTCTATTTAATATAAAAATTGTATTCATATATTTCTAATAAATTATGTCTTTTTCAAAGAAGATATACACATAATAAAATGTTATGTAATATATTATATATATCGTATTATTATTAATTGACATTTTTTTTATTAAATAATTTAATAGAACTGATTGATAAAATTATATTTATTCACATTTAAAAAATTACTAAAATAATAATAATAATATATTTAACCATCATTTAAAATATTGTTTTTTTTATAATTGTTCCTTTTCAACAAAATAAAGTGATGTGCCTTTTTTTCTAGTAAAGTTTTTTCCCGAAATGGAGTCACTGTTCTTGTCGGATCTCTACGTTCTTATCCACAATGTGATGTGCCACTGCCACCCCTTCTCTTCCCCCATCCACAACACATGTCACTCAACAGGGTACAGTCTAGGGTTTCCATCTCTATATTCTACTCACCAAACTTTATTTCTCATTATCAAAAAAAAAAAACAGTAATTCAGATTTTGTTAATTTTAAATTTAATTATGTATATATTTATATTTTACTACATTTCAATTATTGATTTAAAACAACAATGATAAATAACATATTTAAATTATCCCACAATTTCTTTTATAGATTGATCAAAAGTTATTTGTTTCTAGGTTACAATAGATAAAAAAAAATAGAAAAGCAGAGAGAAACTTACACTTTATGAACAAATATTTGACCCATACTAACTTATAATTTTTATTTTAAAATTATTTTTAAATGATAGTGAAACATTATACATATTTTAAATAAAATTAACTATAGTATTATTTTGAAGTTGAATATAATGTAAATTTGGTTATAATAATAAGTTTGTTCGGTTGTTACTTTCACCACCTACTAACCCACAAACCCTACTTTGCCATCAGACACAAGACCCTACTCTCAGACTTGACATTGATTTCCCTCCTTAAAATATCTCAAATTCAGTAAAATAAATAAATCAAAAGTTATCCACTCTGCAATTTGATCATTTAAAATGAATGACAACACATTAAAAGATTCCCCCACCTCCTTCATTAGGTATTTTTAAAGTTAAAAGTGATATAATAAAGAATTTTTTTTTAGGGTATTATTATTTTTAATAGGGATGACAATTAAACTCGTTCATGTGGGACCGACTGACCTTCGTCCCGAGTTTGATGAGGAAAACCCGAGTTGACTGAGGGTGGGGGTGGGTTCGGTTCGGATTTTCTCCACTTTAAAAAGTTGAGGCTGGGCCGGAGCGGGATGGGTAATGCAATCCCTACCTTGACCTCGTCCCCGCCCCGACTTTATATTTAAATTTAAATTTTAAAGTATTAATATTTTAAAAGTATTTTCTTTTCTTTTTCTATTACATATAAGGTCATTTTTTTATATTTTACTAATTTTTATTTTTCTTCTACCTATTTTTTAATTTTTTTGTCTTTTTTAATCTTTTATATCAATTAATTTATTACATTATTCTCTCTTATACCTTGCAGCTTTTTCATATTTCCTTAATCTCTCTCATCAATTTTTTTTTCAATCTTTTCAATCAATTTGATGAACACAAAATTAATTTTTTTATTCTTTATCTTTTTTTAAATATTTTATATAAATCTTAATAGTAACTAATATTATTTTATTTATAATTTATATTTATTAGGTTTTATTATGTCATTTGTTTATCTTATTATTTTTATTTATCATATATCAAATTTTATCTTAATAAAATAATTGTATTTTAAAGGATTAAAGAAATTGATAATTTAAACTTTTATTACTTTAAACTAATTGAATAATAATTAACTTATTAAATATTTCATTATAAACTATATATTTCATATTTTTAAATGACAACTTAAAAATGAATTAACTTATATATATAATCAAATGTTTGAATACAATATTATAATAATAATGATAATGTTATAAGTATTCAAATATTTGAATACATGATTATAATAATAATAATAATAATAATAATAATAATAATAATAATGTTATAAATAAAAAATGATTAAATATTTCTTTTACATACATATTTTAATATAAATATAATAAATTAAAATGTATATTTAATTAATAATTATTATAAATTATAAAATTATAAATATTTATTTATATATAAAAATAGATAATAAAATTAATTTATTATAAATGTAATTATTTTTTTAAAAATAATATAGATCGGGACGGGAACCCGAAACCCAACTGAGACAGGAATGAAGACTTAATTTCTAACCCCGACGGGATCGGGACAAGGACGGAGATGATTAAAAAAGTCAAGAACGAGGATCGGGCAAAATCCGCCCCACCCCACCAGTTGCCATGCCTAATTTTTACCATGCACACGTCCAAATGAAAAAGTAATAGTAATAGCAATTAACATTTACAATTTCATAATAAATAATAATATATAAATTATATTTTTCTGTATTTTTGTTCGTGTAAAGGTGAAGTATACTTCTTTAAGATCAAAATGTTCCTTTAATGGTGGAGATATTTTCTTGGAAAAGATCGCAAGTACTTGACTGAGGGTGTTGTAACTTGTGAGATAATAATTTTTGTTTGAATCCTCATCATTCAAGAATACCTTTGTTTAAATAGACTGTTCCCTTTCTCACTACATGGTGAATATTTTAAATACTTTTATTAAATCTCTTTTGAAGTTAAGGAAAAATCTTTATAACTTTTTTGGATATTTTCATTATGGATTAAGGAAAAAGATAAGAAAATATTACATTTTTTTAAAGAAAAAAGTGCTATATGTAATATTTTTGGTATGCTACCAAATTTTTCATACAATACAATTCCATTATTACTCCGTCGATTAATTACATCCCATGCACGTTTATGATGAGTCATTTTCATTTCTTAAATTATTTAAAAAAAAAAAACTCTAAGATAAGTCCAAGTAAACACGACTTTATTATACACGAATAATTCAATATTTATCGATTTGTTTATTTTTATTAGTATCATTATTTAGAACTCACATTAAACCACAATAAGCTAAATTGGGTTAAAAAGATTCCTTTTTTTCTTCATTGTATAAAAAAGACTAATTCAAGAGATATAACAATCTTAAACTTAAAATTTTATTTATAAACAATATTCAAATTCTTTATCACTTATATAAATAAGTATTAATTACGCCATGGACGATCAAGTCAAGCGATCAATACAAAACATTGCTCATATTCATATATGAGCAATTGGATAAAACAAGTGAAAAATAAAACAAAAAAGAATCAAATAAATGTCTGACGAGAAAAGGATAAAACATAGAAGGGAAAATTGTTTTATTTATTTATTTTCTCCATTATTAATAAGAATGGAAGAGTTTCACGTGGATCCCAGGTTAAATTTTGTCCTACTCCTAATTTGTCTCGAGAAGAAGCTCACAGGAAAAGATGGTATAATTGTTAGTGTAGCATATATAAAAAGATTTACGTATTAGTACTAAATTAATATGGTGGAATTAATCTCCATTGAAAAGCTTTAAAAAGTGTTTATATTTAGTATTAATGGATACTAATTAGAAGAAAGGTGGAAAAAGGATAATGATGGAAAAAAGATATAGTTTTGTATATATAAAAAGGAAGTGTTGGGTTTTGGGAGAGCATGTAGTAAGGTTATCAGTTTCTGAGGAGCGTGAGTGATGGATTCCCAATCTCAGGTCCAGAGAAAGCTCACAGTGTCGGTTTTAGCGGAGAGTGACAGTGGCAACGGCAACGGCAACGGAACGGCGTCGTTGGCCAAAGGGCAGTGCCTGTGTTCTCCAACTACGCACGAAGGCTCCTTCAGGTGTCGTTAACATCGCTCAGTCACAGCTTCATCATCTCCACCTTCATGGATGAAACGCTCCAAGCCCAATTAGCAACGATGTCGTTGTCTATGTTGTTATGTTTATCACAGCTTTCAGAATTTGGCCGTGTAAGTGGTTAAGAATACTTGTACCAGTAGTATTATAGAGAGAGAGGTAATTAATAATGAATTAATGCTTGTGTAGTTGCGATTGTCACTAATTAATCACTATTTAACTTGTTCTCAATATATTTTCTGCATGTCTTTCTCATAAATCTTCTCCTCCTACTCACAGATCAACCGCATAATCAATCTGAAAAATTAAGCATTTTTTTCTTTCTCTTTTTTTTATCTTTCTTTCCGTAAACTAGAGGTTAATTATATATATTAATCGATTTGAAATTGTTCAAGTTCTTAGAATTCTTCTTAAATATTATTATATCCTAGATTTAGATCTGTAATTTACCAACCCTAGATTTGGATAAAAAGCGGATCCAAGGTTGCAATTTTACTTGCAGCATGATCCATAATTCTGCTCACGTGCTCGTCTTCTTTGTTTTGTCTAGATTCCTTTGGAAAAGAGAGATATAAATAAAAATATATATATTTTAGTCTTTTTTTTTTATCTTTTCAAATAAGATTTTCTATATTTTTTTATGGAAGATTTTTGTTAGGAAATGCCCAACAATTTTATTGTAGCGTATTTTTGTTTTCTAAAAATTCATTATATTTTCTTAAAGTCGATCGAGAGAATAAATTAACATTTTGTTAAGTTTTTTATTAAATTTATCAATATAAAAAATATAATAACTTTAATCATATTTAACAGAAAGGATAAATATATATATATAAAATATATAAGCCAATTTTTCATAAAAGGAAGAAATGGTTTGTACGCATTGCACGGAGCGCGTATTAGTATGTTAATATTAATCCATTGAGATTTGGGTAATGATAAGTGAACATTTATATCTTGTGTATAATTTTTTTATACTAACAAAAAATTATAACAATACGAGAATAAAATATTTATTTGATTAAATCAAATTTCAATTTAATTATTAAGGTCTTATTTGTATGATAGAGATCAAAATGTTTACTAAAATGAATTCCTCCTTTATAATAATTAATTCTACAATGTTCAACGTTCATTTCAAGTAATGTCCTATTACGTTAGTAGTGGAATATTAAAATTTTTTAAATATATGGTAAATAGCTATCATATTATTATTATTATTATTATTATTATTAGAATTTCTACTAACAACTTAGAAACTCTTAATCTAGTCAATATTCAAAGACTAATCATTCACATATACATAGTCTATATATATATATATATATACAAATTAGTGAACGAGATTTATTAATGTTTATGAAATAAAGAATTGCGACATCCAATTTTTATATCATGTTAGCAATAATCTTATGATAATAAAAAGAAATAATTAAATTATAAACTATTTTTTATTACATAATTTTATTAAAATTACACACCTCTACATTTAATTAACAAAATTTCAGATACGCAACCTAATCAAATAATAAATATGCTAATAATAAAGTAAAGAATAGTGTTCTATTTAAATTAAGTGATAACTAGGGATCATACTCCCATATATTAATGATCCCTAACACCAAGAAAATAAGAAAATGAGGAGATAATTGCCAAATGACTTTTTTTTCCTTTTTTCTAGCACAAGTGTGTAACTCTTGTGTTTTTTAAAAGGGTAGTACTATATTAGTAATTAATTTTATAAAGATACAATTACTTTAACAACTATATCTTACTATATAATTTAAATATTATTATTATTAGTATATAATAAAATAGAATTGTCAACAATAGGTTAAAAGTTGTCAGCACACAATTTTTTAAAAATTAATAATTAATTGCAAAGTTGGTATATCTTTTCTCCATTTTCAAAGTTTGATTGGAGTGAATTCAATCATTTTGGTCTTCACCTAAAGGTACCTATTGAACTAGCGGATTGAATTGACCCTTAACTCCCCCTTACAATTGATAGCCTCCACAAACTGCAATATATCTTGAATGACATAGCTGTGAATAGATTAAACCTAGTGGAAAACATTTTTACAAGAGATTTTGTAATTGTTCTGTTTCTTACCTTCCATCAGGGTTGAATTCCTTTGTCCTGTTTATTTTTTTTTTTTTTTAATGTGGGAAGAACACGTAAAGTGAGTCAAGTTCACATACTGGAAAATAGATAAATTTAATCCGAATTAAAAATGGTGAATTGACTTATTAACCATTAAGAACGCAATAAATAAAGTAAATATAATACATGCAGCAACATAAAAGGGTGAATATAAAACACAACATAACCTACAAATACAAGAAGATATGATAGACATAACTATTAGACCACGAGCAAGGTAGGAATAACATTAAGTGAATATAAGTTAATTGGTTTATAACGTCAATGTAAATTAATTAAATTAAATATTTATTAACTTATTAATTATTTTTAAAATTTTAAATATAATGTAAATTATATGTTAATGACTCAAATCAGTTTAAATCATAAATAAGTTGAAATAAAAAAATTAAACCAAGTCAATTCGAGTTTGTAATAAACCAGGTTCACTTGCTAATTAAAACCTGTATTTACACCCTATATGGAAGGAGATGTATATTACGTAAGATCCTCGCATAAATAACCCCGTAACAATATATTGGTTATAATTTTAACTGTCTTCTGCCACATGCTTGATAGAGCACACTCTCAACTGAACAGGAACTTCAGAGTTTTTAACCACAAAATGCATGATATCATCGATGAATAAAATTATATCAAAACTGGACCAAACATTCCCACATGGCATAGTGGCCCCAGGAAACAGTTCCACGTAGCAATTACATGCAGTTTGTCATGTGCACCACGTGCCTCGGTTATTACAACGCAGAGTGTGATCCCAATAATGAGGGTAGAAAAATGTATATAATTTTGTTAGCTTTTACTTTGGCAAGTGAAGCCAACAAAATAATTTGGTTCGAATAGAATACCCAATTCACTTGCTTCCAATCCAATACCATGTGCTTTTTTATACTCTAAAGTTTTTGTTGTCACTCCTCACTTTGCTCATTTCCACACTCTTTGGCGTGTGACTTTGAGCTTCCTGGGGTCCAATAATCAGAGCACGAATTTTTGTTCCAAGGGACTCCATGGATATCAAAGGTTGGCGCAATTCCGGCAAGAGAACAATCCATTTGGGAAAGTGTCACAATGGGATTGAGCATCTACAGTCGCTATCATCCATTGGAACAACCAAGTTGAGGTGGAAATTATTGTGGATGAAGATCAAGAAAGAGAAGAAGAAGCTTTTTGAGTCTGCACCATTTCAGGTCCCTTATGATGAACACACTTACTCTCAGAATTTCGATCAAGGGACTGCACTTGATGAACCAGATAATCTCTCTAGATCTTTCTCTGTTCGCTTTGCTGATCCTTCTATAGTACTTGTAACAAGAAAACGGTAGTTAAAGGCAAGGCTAAGAAAACTTAGATACTGCTAGATCTTTACAATGCTAAATAATGCACCTATAGTTATGTCTGTAATCTGTATATTATATTCTGATTTTTGAGTCTGGTCTGATGGTTAATTTCCTCATAGTAATTCCATTATAGTGAAGTGGCTAAATCCTTTCCTCAACATTTAGATGTATATTTGTAAGATTTGTCAATATGTGATTGCACCCATCAAGCACTGTCTTTAAATAACCAAAGTGTAGGATTGGGAGAGAAAGAGAGGTTATATATGGACAAGGATAATGAAATTTCTCGATCAAGAAGTAAAGAATATATCTGCCACTCTCGTGTTCTTTGTTTATTTCCTCTATATAACTATTCTCAGAATTTTGGTCTATGAAGACTTGTTTTGTTTTCCGAATCTAATATATATTATGATACGTTCTTAAAATTTGAGTTGTAATCAATTCAATTATAAATATTAGCTTACAGATATCGTTAGTGCACACAGGGCTTTGGGAGTTCATGTTCCCTTTTCTCCTTTGATCAAAGAAAAAAAAAATATCAGTCTTCAATTAACTACAAAATGATATTAAACTAATGAGATAAATTATTATGCTGCTAACCAAAAAGTCAATTGTGTTGCTTTTTGGAGAAGCTCCGAATCAGCCAAAAGGGGGTCACTATCAATTGGTTTCTTTCGTTTCATGAACAAATGTAAGAAACAGAAAACCTTTCAATAAAAATTAAAACAAACACAAAACCTATAGCCTCTTAAAACATACAACTCTAGCCATCATCTGACAGAAAGAGAGAAAAAAAAAAAGTATTTAACGAGGACATCGTCCAAACTTCTCTCAAGTGTTTTCTCTACCATACTCACTTAATTTTTTATCGAACACAAATAATTTTGAATTATAGGGATCCATAGTCGTATTCAAATTGGATTAAAATTTGACTTTGGGTGCCACTATGAAGTAAAAAAACATCTTAGGAAGATCATAGGACACATAATCTACTTTTAGCAAAACGATAATTATTTGTTTATTGAATCTGATATAGCGGAAAATGTTACACATTCCTTAATGTTCTAATATGTCAAAATGGTTGAATCCTTTTGTCTTATTCCGCCCTTAATTCATAAAAATAAGATGGAAGAACTGATATGTCATATGATATATAAATTTTAATCCGTATTGTATAAATTTATATATATAATTATATGAATAATTTTAAAATTATTATTTATTAATTAATATTTTTATTAGATAAATTAAAGAAATTTATAATTATGAATCAAAATAATTAATTATAATTAAAAATTTATATTTAATTAGTTTTTATAATTTAAATTATAATAAATTTATATATTTTAATAACATAATAAAAAAATATAATATTTATAATTATAATTTCTTATTTTACTTTTAATATATAAATATTTTTTTTAAAACGAAACAATATATTATTCCACTCGTTGAATTGAAAAATTAGATAAAAGAAATTAAAACAAATTCGCAGACATACTAAATTTTATCATTTTACACTTGAGTAATTGAAAACCAATAAATTTAGTTTAGGTGCTAAATACACGGATATGTTCAAATTTTTTGTATGAAAAAGAAAAAAAAATCATTGAAAGAATAGTCTCCTCATGACGGTTCCTATATTCGGAAAACACTATGTCCCATGATTGTGAAGAATACCTGTGGTCATCAACAAAAATAAATATTGAAACTAATAATCTAAAATACAAAAAAATCAATTTAATCTTTTAAAATTTAAAACATCAAATTAGTTTTTCAATATTTGAAATGAATAGGAATTTAGTCCTTAACGCTAAAAGAAAAAACAAAAAATTCCTTAACTTGCTCGTTGTCTTACATTGAGCTTAAACGGATTACTTTGGATTTCGCACTTTTTGTTGTTGAAATATTTCTCAATTAACTGAGTTTAAAATAGCAATAACACAAAGGATTGGGCCTTTGGTCAACAATACCCTATCTGTGAGCACTCTTAAAGCCTGCTAACATTCCCAAAAGTAAATCTGGTTAACATGCTTTGGTCTTAAGAATGAGATCACATCTCTTTGTTCTTAAATTTATTCTTTTCAAAATCAATGAAACTAGTATCATCGTGTGTCCGCTCCATCAAAGTGGGTCATTCATTACATGGGCACGTTCTTAATAGGAAAAGATGACATGCTGTGTTTGGAAGCGATTTCCACCTATTTCTTTTTCCTTCTCTTCAACCCCCTTTATTTCTTTCTCATAAGGATTTTATGTTCTTATGCCTTTATTCTAAGCTTTAAATAACCTTCCTTTATGAAAGTTCTAGTGCTTTATCTTTATAAGAAACTCATAGACTTGAACACAACACGTTATGGTAAATATGTAAACAAATAGGTAGGTAAATAAAAAGATTTTTAATCACTTAGTAATGGGAAAGTTTTTATCCAAATATATAAAAAAAAACAGAATAAGAATATTTGTATTTGATTTTAAAAATGAAAACAAGTGAAATATATAATAAACATAAGGAGTATATATTTTTATTAAATCTATAATTCTTATATTTTAAATTTGATAAATTTAAATTAATAATATATTATTTAAAATATATATTTACCACTAAAACAACTGTTAAGTCACCTACTTTTTTATTTATGATGATCTCTTTATCCTTTCTCTTTTCATCAAACACAAGGTATAGTTTTCATATTTCACATGCTTCTCTCGTTTCCACCGCTTATCCTTCAACCAAAGAAAGGGACGGAGTCATGAAGTAGAAGCAACTCAAATTGTTCTTGCGCACAACGGTTAGTTAGGGTTATTGATTTCCGTTTCAGGACAGAGTGACACCACTCTCCAATGGCGACCCAATTGGCGACGACACCCTCCGCCAGGGTCCACCAATTCTTCGACGAACTCGAAGCCAAGAAGACCATCCTCGACAAATGCACAAACCTCTTCGCCACCCTCTCCACCCACTTCTCCTCCCTCCAACACTCCGTCACCGAGAAATCCCAATTCCTCGATTCAAAGCTCCAATCTCTCGAATCCCTTTCCCGCGAAACCCTACAAGCCCTCCACCGCCGCCAGACCTCCATCCCGGAGCGCGAGTCCGCCGCCGCCGCCCGTATCAGCTACCAGAAGGAAGCCGCCCTCGCCGAGCTCCGCGCCCCTCCTCCGCTGGACCACCCCGACCTCTCAGCCGCGCTCAAATCCCTCTCGCGGAAGATGGACGCGGCAGCTCTGCTGCGGTTCGTCGTGTCGAAACGGAAGGAGTCAGCGTCGCTGCGGGCGGAGATCGCGGAGGCGATGGCGGAGGCGGTGGACCCACCTCGGCTGGTGCTGGAGGCGGTGGAGGAGTTTCTGAGGAGCAAGGCGGCGAAGTCCGGGGTGACGGATAAGAGGTGGGCGTGCGGGCTTCTGATTCAGGCACTGATGGTTTCGGAGTCAAGAGAATATTCTAGAAAGATCGTGGAGAGAGCCGTTGCGGTTGTGGAAATGTGGAAGGAGCATTTGGATGGGGAATCGGAAAGTGGTGCAGCAGAAGTGATTATGTTTCTGCAGATGGTGGTGTGTTTTGGGTTAAGGTCCAGGTTTGATGACGAGTATTTGAGGAAGTTCGTTATGGAGTTTGCTTCTAGAAGGGACATGGCAAAGCTTGCTGCATCCTTACAATTCGGAGACAAGATCATAGGTTTGTGTTTTAGTTGCTAAACTACCTTGGAACATACTGTGTTTCTGTTAAAGTCCAAACACTACATTATTCCATGTAGTGTTTGGACTTTGAACTTTTCCTCTAATTTCATATAGGGGCACTGTGTTGTTCCAACATTGTACATTTTTTTTTTTCATCAATTGAGGGAAAATACATATGGATGAGGACTACTAATAAGTAGAGCAATTATTCATGCTTTTCCAATAGTTCTTTGCCTTGGTTACTTCTATGTTATGTCACTGCCTCCCTGTGCCTTCAAATTCCCTTGGACCAGTCCTCCTCATTGTTAACCTACTTTTGTCAGAGTTGATGGTATGCATTAACCTTGATAACAACTCGTCTTTCCAAAGTGCGTCCTTCCATCTTTGGCCTCTAGTGGTGGCAAATATGCGAAGCTGTTGCGGGAATTTTATGGTGGTACAATGGTGGAGATAGGCTGAGAAAGAGGAAGAAAGGCTGTCTGCCAAAAGTGAGAGAGTGGTAGTGGAAAGTATTGAGTCATGTTGAGGAGTTCAGAAGATCCTGGGTTTCTGCGCGTAATCACTTGAAGGGGGTTTCCTGTGTATTATCTTACTTTTATCTCCATCAGGTTTAAGAGGAAGGGAATTCGGATAGATCGCATAGAGTTAGCATGGAGTGCATAATTTAGAACAGGGCTATGGGATTTTGGGTCATCAAAATTTTGACTATTGTTTGACTTTTAAATTTAATTTTATTTATTAAAGAAGTTTCTTGTATCTTTTCCTTTTGAAATAGATATTGACTTGAAAGCATGTCCCTTTCCATGTTTCATCTGCTCGCTGGTTTATGTTAGCAAGCCACAGCCTCATATGTCTTGTATTGCCTTTTTGCAACCTTTCATCAAATGTCTTTCTGAAAAATTAGATTAAATGAAGTCTTATTTTTTATTATTTTAATATAAAGAGATCATACAAAATATATTTGTATATACAGGAGACCTAAGCTATTTTAAGAAATATAATAACTCTATTTTATTTTAGGATCCTTCCCTTGATTTATGGAATTGTTCCTAATTGTTCAAATCAGTACAGATTACAAATTTTCTAATTTATTTTTTCCTAAAATACTATTTGATTTCTCACACTTCCCCTCAAACTGGTGAATAGGTGTTTTCCATTTCCAGCTTGGATAAAATCTTTTCAAAATTGTGGCAGCTCAATCCTTTGATAAGAATGTTTGCAATTTGGTCTTGAGAGGACACATATGGAGTGTATATCAAGTCACTATCAAGCTTTTCTTTGATGAAGTGTTTGTCTACTTCAATATGCTTTGTTCTATCATGCTGCATTGGGTTGTGGATTATGCTGATTGCTGACTTATTATCATAATAGAGCTTCGTAGGTTCTTCTTATTTTATTCTCAAGTCTTCTAAGATGATTTTAAGTCATAGCAACTTACATATACCTTGTGCCACTACACCCTGCTTTTTGCTTCTCCAAGTCACAAGATTTCCTCCAAGAAAGATGCAATATCCTGTAATTGACCTCCTATCCACAATTGACCCTGCATAATCAGCATCAGTATAGGCTTCAAGCTTCACATTACCATTCCTTTTGAATAGAATCCTTCTTCCTAGAGTTTCTTTAAGGTACTGTAAAATTCTGTGGGCTGCTTGTAAATGGGTCTCCTTTGGGTTATGCATAAATTGACTAATTAAACTCACTGCATAGGCAATATCTGGCCTGGTATGCGACAAATATATAAGTATGTCCACTAATCGCTGGTACATATCTTTTTCAACATCATCTTTTTCTGCATTTCCAAGCTTTAGGTTTGGTTCTAATGGGGTACTAGCAGGTTTGCAAGCTGCCTTGCCAGTTTCCTTGAACAAATCAGTGATGTATTTCTGTTGGGATATAAATATTCCTTTCTTAGAGTGGGCAACTTCAATTCCCAAAAAATATTTTAGTTTTCCCAAGGTCTTGATCTCAAATTCCTTGTTTAAGCATTGACTCAACAATTGTTGCTCTTCTTTATTATCTCTAGTTAATATTATGTCATCCACATACACCAATAATATTGTTACTCCTCCTGACTTGGAATGTTTAAAAAACAAAGTATGGTCCCCTTGACTTTGTTTGTAACCCAAACATGTCATAACTTTAGTAAACCTACCAAACCATGCATGAGGGGACTGTTTTAGCCCATATAATGCCTTTTTCAACTTGCAAAAAGTGTTGGCAACAACATCTCTACAGGTATCTCCATATAAATTTCTTCTTCAAGGTCTCTATGTAGGAAAACATTCTTAACATCAAATTGTTCCAAGTTCTAACCATAATTGGCAGCAAGGTACAATATCACCCTAACTGTGTTCATTTTGGCAACCGGAGCAAAGGTCTCCAAATAATCAACTCCATAGGTTTGGGTGAACCCTTTAACAACTAGTTTTGCCTTATATCTCTCAATTGATCCATCAGTCTTGTATTTCACTATATAGACCCACTTACATCCAACTGGCCTCTTTCCTATTGGTAAGGTGACTAACTCCGAGGTGTTGTTCTTCTCCAATGCCTCCATCTCTACATCCATGGTTTGCCTCCATTTTCTGTCAGACAATGCCTCAAATAGGGTATTAGGTAGAAGTGTAGTGTTTAGGTTTACTATGAAGGTTTTATGGGTAGGAGAAAATTTTTTAAAGAACAGATAATTTGAGAGAGGGTAGAGTGGCTATTTGGTGCATTTTTTTGTCCCTTTTTTAATGGCAATTGGGAGGTCAGGATCATTTTGGGTTTCAATTTCAACCTGCACAGCTGAAAAAAAAATTGTTACCTCTTTTTGGAGTCGAGTTGGATTCTTGAACATGGCTTGATCCTAGAATGACCTTAGTCTTCCTTGAGTACACCAACTTCTTACCAAATTTTTCAGCTTCAACATCTCCTTGATCAGCTTTATAATTAATTTCACTTTCTTGACCAGCTTTCTTTTCTTGACCAATTCCTTGACATGTTTCACTTGTTACAGCTTCAATTTGATCTCGTTTAGGTTCAAATATCAAGTCTGGAAGAATGGGAAAACCATAATTACTACTTTCAATTTGATCTCGTTTAGGTTCAAATATCAAGTCAGGAAGAATGGGAAAATCAGAATTACTACTTTCCTTATCTTCCCTGAAACTCTCCCCCTGAAGATAAGGTTGATGGAAATAGCCCTCTTGTTCATTGAATGTAACATCCCTAGACTAAAAGAATTTTTTGGATGGGGGTGGTAGCATTTATACCCTTTCTGAGTGGGCGAGTAACCAACAAAGACACCCTTTAAGGCTCTAGGATCAAGTTTTCCTCTTGTCTGTACTATGAATATGGACATATGAGATGTACTAAAAAACTCTTGGTTTAAGATTATTTGTAGTGGACAGGTTTGGATAGAAAGATGACAAAGTTTCCATAAGGCTTTTTTATCCTAAGACTCTAGAAGGTAGTCTATTGATAAGGTATGTTGCTGTAAGGACAGCTTCCTCCCAGAAATTTTTTTGGACACTTTTTTGGAACAATAATGTCCGAGTCTAATTTAATAGATGTCCATTTTTCCTTTTTACGACCCCATTTTGCTATGATGTTTTGACATGAGGACTCATGAATTATACCATCTTTTTGACAAAAAGAATTAAGGACATGATTGAAGTAATCTTTGGCATTATCTGACCTAAGCCTCTTAATATTAACACAAAACTAATTTTTTATCAAGGAGTGAAAGTTTAGGAAGACAGAACTAACTTATGATTTTTGTTTAAGTACGAAAACTCAAGTGACCCTTGTACAATTATCTATAAAGGTGACAAACAATCGAGCACCAGACACATTTGGAACATTAGAAGGTCCCCATACATCAATATGAACAAGATATAAAGGGAAATTGCGAATTCTATTACTTAATGGAAAAGATATACGCTTGTGCTTAGCAAGTTCACACACCTCACGATGAAGACTCGCAACATCCAACTTTGTAAACAGAGAGAGAAACATAATTTTGATCACTCCAAAAGAGGGATGTTCCAACCGACAATGATAATGCATGATTTTTTTTCTATTGGTCATCAAGGATTCAGATATGAAGGAGTGAGAGATTCTGTTCTTGCTGGACACACTTGGATCTTCAAAATAATAAAGGTCATTCCATTCTTTAGCATGTCCAATCATCCTCCGCGAATCCTTGTCCTGAAATACACAATGATCATTGAAAAAAACAACTTTACATGACAAATCCTTTATAAGTTTTTGTATAGAGACTAGGTTGGTGGACAACTTTGGGACATGGAAAACATCTTTTAAGGTTATTAAAGGATTAATTTGGATATTTCCTTAACCGGCTACAGTTATAAGGGTTCTATCTGCTGTGGCAATTTTCTTGTTGCTGGGACATGTGGAATATGTGGAGAAGTGTTTGGCTAACAGTGTCATGTGGTCTGTGGCTCCAGAGTCCAATATCCAATAATGATTAAAAGGTGTATCTGAGACATTTAATCCAAAAGAAAGTGGAAACTTACATGAGTATGCCAAATAACACACACCTGTAGGTTTTTCCAGCTTACTAAGAAAGGTTCTCACCCTTTCTATCTCCTCTTGGTTAAGATGGGCAGCAGCTTCTGGATTATTTCCTTTATTTGTTTCAATAGCAACATAAACTTGTCCTCCTTCCTTAAGGAGCCTCCTCTGTGTTCCCTTTCTCGATCTCGATTTAAAGGCTTTCCATATAATTTTCAGCACTTCTCTCGGGTATGACAAGGCTTATTGTAGTAGGTACACCAGAGACCATCACCTTTCTTTTCCATATTTGCTGATCCTCCTTTTTCTTTGTTCGGCTACCCCATTTCTATTCAACACTATACGAACAAGTTGGACCCACTTCAAATAACTTCTTCTATTTAGTCTATATGCAGAATGAATATTTTGTAGTTCTCCAAATTGTTGGGGTTGGGTTTACAACTTCCTCTTCCCTTGACATTATAGCAAGAAGGTGCTATGCAGCAGCAATGCAAGTTGTCATCTTAGGGTTAAGAAAAACGCAGCAACAATGCAGGCTGTCATCTTAGGGTTTATAGTCCGTAGACAGAACTTCCTAAATCAAAAGTTTGATATCATCTGGAAAATTAAATTAAATGAAATCTTATTTTTTATTATTTTAATACAAAGAGATCATACAAGATATATACAGGAGATCTAAGCTATTTTAGGAAATATAATAATTCTATTTTATTCTAGAATCCCTTAATTTATGGGATTGTTCTTAATTATTCAAATTTGTACATATTACAAATTTTCTAATTTATTTTTTTCTAAAATATTATTTAATTTGTCACAGTAATTCTGAAATTCCACCTCAATTTTGCCGTTACACCTATCCTTGTAGACATGTAGGCCTAGCTGCATGACCCCTTAATATTCCTTTGTATGAAAGCAGAAGCACAAAGGCATAGCCTAAATAAACTGGTTAGAGAAACTCAGATTGTGTTATCACATACAACTCTTACCTTGATTCCTATTTATTATACGCTCCCGTACTTTTACATTTCTCCATAACAGACTATTTTTATGTAATTCATTTTTTCGCCAATGTATAAATTACCTGCATATACTAAGCAAATGATGTATGCAGATATTATAGATGAACTTATTACCAGTGGCAAAGAGATAGAAGCTGTTTATTTTGCTTCAGAATCCGGTTTAACTGAAAGATTTCCTCCTATTAACCTACTCAAGTCCTATCATCGGAACTACAAAAAGAATGTTACTACAACATCGAAAAAGGGAAACAGCAATCATGCAATGGTCTGCATTAATGTGTTTATGTTAAATATAAAGGAATGTATGCCATAGATGGATTGCATTTTTAATTCTGTCTTTTCATTTTTCAGGATGATTCAAGCACTTCAGAGTTGAATTCCATTAAGGCTATAATCAAATGTGTAGAAGATCACAAGCTTGAATCAGAATTTAACCTTGATCATTTGAGGAAGCGAGCTACCCTTCTGGAGAAAACTAAGGCAGAAAGGAAGAAGAGTTCAACTTCAGGAACTAAATCTCAGAACAAAAGAGGCAGTCGAGGCAATGTATCCAGCTCTTCCCGTCCAGCCAAATCAGCCAAATTTAGTAATGCACACTCATCATCTTTCAGCCGTAGGAACCTAGCACCTTCCCTACAACCAAGTCCTGGTGCAAGATTTTCTGGTCCATTCAACTACCCCAGCCAGACCATATTCGATGGTGCAACTGCTAATCCTTACGCAGCAACCTATGGAACTACTCACACGCAAAGTCCGGCTGGAATAACACAACAACACTATTCTATTCCTGTCGACAATTTGGTTCCATCTAGTTACCGGTCTAGTGGTTCGTATTCGGGACAGGCTAGCTATGGCCTATATGATTACAGAAATGGCGCTCCTCCAACTTATCCACGTCCGTACACAGTAGATCAATCAACTTATAGGGGCTAAGTTTTCGATTTCCCCCTTTACAATCCTTTTTATGCCCGTTGTCTCATTTTGATGCGACTTCATCTATTTTATTTCTGGTTTTGCGCCTGTCAAAATTGGAGATAAAACAGGTTCCTGGGAGGGTATGTTATTTAAATACATAGTATATGGTGCCAAGGCAAAGTTCTTCCTTTCTTTTCAAGTTGTATTTATTTTTCTCCTTTGAAAGTAATGCAATTTTGTTTAGCCTTGTTCCATCTCTTTTACTTGTTCTGCCTTACTCCAAATTAGCTTCTAAAAGAAGTGGTAAAAAAATGCTATTGTAGTTACAACTGCTTTTAATCTTTAATCTCTATAGAATGCGATCAACAGATTATCTTCACAGCATGACTCTATGTTAACTGACGTTCAATTCCGGAACATGTGTACCCTCCAGGGTCCCAATGGCTTTGTGTGTCTAATGTCCATGTGCACGTCAGAATGTGTTACAGATTTTTATAACATATACATATCAATATTTTAATATATTCTTTGCCGCTAAGGGTGATGTTCAACTTATTTATCTTCTTTTTGGATTTGTTGTCTAATGCAAATACTATTATATTGTTTTCCCCCTGGACAGTAGCTTTTATGGTCAGAGTTACATAGCTTTGTTATGTGAAGCCTGGAGAAAACGATCAAATAATTAAATACTATTCAAATTAACCTATCATTCACGTAACACATCGTAAATTTGTTCTTGACAAAGTCAGATTAAGTTGCAAATTGTATTTTAGTATGCGTACACGACAATTATTCAATTTTGATTAGATATTCAGGAGAGCTTGAGCTGACAGAAAGATATACATACGTAATTTAGTAATTATTCATTGATATAAATTACACTAATCTTTCGTGAATTACGTAAGCTCCTTTTAAGATATTATCTTACCACCTTTTTTATTGGTAGAATAACTGGTACTTGGTTGCAACGTCTTTGTCACGTCTCACTGGTTGAAATTTTGCTTGGCCTTCCATTTCTTTCCCTTGGATAGTTCTTGAAAATACATTTGTTTGACGATTCCTCTCAGGGAAGATAATGAAACATTGATTTAGTCACCAAATTTAATTACAAATCAAGCTTTGAAAATCTCGTCACGTCATTTCATTAGTGCATCTTTATATCAAACAGGTCAGACATGTCTGAAGAGGACACACTTGTTTGCTTCTGCAATTTCGTGTTTGAAGGAAAGACTGTTCGATCGTGACACCCGTGAGCCTGGGGGTAGAGATATTCCGGCAATTCTCCCATAATTATGACTACATACATATTATTTTTGTTTAAAATCATTACTTTGACATTTCTATTTCAATTTTTTATTGATCATTTGTTATTTGTTAATATGCCATATGCCAGATAAATATAAATACAAAAAAACAAAGAGATTAAAATACAAATTTTGAAAATACACGAGATTTTAAAAAATTATCATAAAATCATCAAGTAAACTTGTATATTATCATATTATAGATATGAGATTTTACAGAATAGACATCTGAAGTCAACGAAGGTGGTTCATTGTTTTATTGGATTATCCGTTGACGTGATATATATATATATATATATATAAAGATAAAGGAGTGGTGGGAGTGTGTTTGTATTACATTACAAATCTGCGGTTGGATTCATTAGCAGAAACAGAAACACAGGCATGACAGGTCTTAGCAATGGCGCCTCCGCATTGAACAAGGTGAAGTTCACAAAGCTTTTCATCAACGGAGAGTTTGTTGACTCTGTCTCAGGTTCTCATCTTTAAGGCCCTTTCTTTTCTGCTTCTTCCACCTTCTGTGCTCCTCTTTCACTCCTTTTTCAGTATTCTTTTTCCCACTCATGCCCCTGGATCAAAATCAAATCCACCTATTTATTTGCATGGTGTGATATAGTTTTTTTTTTTTTAATTCAACCACGCCAATACATATAATTTCATCTGTTACGTCGTTCTTTGACGGTATACAAATATGATGAGAGAAATATTGGTCATTTGATTCAATGCAAATCAAGTAGAAATCATTTTTATTTTATTTTTTATCTACTTTCGTTCATTTCTTTCTTTTTATTTCGCTTCAACTAAATATTTTTAAATTATTCTTTTTTTTTATTATTGTTATCTTCAGACTCTTAGATATGAAGGAAACATTTTGTTCAGCACATAAATGGTTAACTAGTATAACAATACGTGTAAATGGATAAATTTTAAATTTATATTAACTAAAACCAAAGAAATTTCGTTCCAAGCATTATAACTAAATTTTACTGTTTTTTAAGGAGTGTACTAATATTTAATAAAAGAAAACGTGAAATACAACTCGGAGAATATATTACCCATGTTTCAGGGATACATGGAAGCTGTGATAGTCATTTAACTTCGTATGATGTGCGTTTAGAGATCTATACCATGTTACTCTCATTCATCACATTTGTTTATACAAGGACAAGTATTGAAATTTATTTTTTCTTCATGCGAATGGGGAAGTCAATCAATGTGCAAATTTTTCATAATTTCATGTTCTAAACATTTATTATTATCCTTTGATAAAAAATTATCAGAGGTAGCTTGATTTATTTCGACAACAAAGGAAGTTTACTTTTGTATATTCAACAGGAAAGACATTTGAGACAATAGATCCAAGAACAGGAGATGTTATTGCAAGAATCAGCGAAGGAGATAAAGAAGACATAGACATTGCTGTTAAAGCAGCACGTCACGCGTTTGACTTTGGTCCTTGGCCTCGCATGTCGGGCGCTGTGAGTTCCATTTTCCCTTCTCTTATTTCATATCTGCGACAACAAAAATACATGAAAGTGATAAATGTAACAATAGAATCATGTGCGTAAATGATTAAGATTAAAAATTGATATAAGATATGAATGTAATACTCAGGCTAGAGGTAAAATTTTGTTGAAATGGGTGGAGCTAATCGAAGAACATGCAGAAGAACTTGCAACACTAGATGCCATTGATGCGGGGAAGTTGTATCATATGTGTAAGAATGTGGAAGTTCCATCAGCGGCAAACACTCTCCGTTACTATGCTGGTGCTGCCGACAAAATTCATGGAGAGGTCTTGAAAATGTCTCGAGAGTTTCATGCGTATACACTACTGGAACCAGTTGGTGTTGTGGGACACATAACTCCTTGGAATTTTCCCAATACCATGTTTTATATTAAGGTTGCTCCTTCTTTAGCTGCTGGTTGCACCATGGTCATCAAGCCTGCTGAACAAACACCCCTCTCTGCTTTGTACAATGCTCATCTTGCTAAACTGGTATCTGTGACTTTCAACAAACAATTTTCAACAAATTATCAAGCATGCATCAAGTTTATTAGGTTTTCCTTATTTTTCTCTTTTCAAGGCTGGAATTCCAGATGGAGTGCTCAATGTAGTGACCGGATTTGGCCCAACTGCTGGTGCTGCATTAAGCTCACACATGGATGTTGATAAGGTAATTTACAGGTCAAATATTTACAATTACAATGATCTTAGTAGCTATACAGTGTTGTAGCCTCGTCAAATATGTATCCATGGTGTCATGTTGGTTATTAAAGTAGCATAGTTATGTAGAAATTCATACTTAAGAGGAGATTAATAGAAATTTAAGTATGAGTGATTAGTCTCGAATTGACTGACAATAATGTTTCGTGATTTTGAGGATATGAGATATTTATCCTCTTTCATAATCCTAGTCTTAGTCTTGAATATGTTTATCCTTCTTGTTGCATCTAAAACACCCTAACAATTTTGATTTTTCAACTTTTATATAATGATGTTGAGTATGTCAAATAATTAGATAATTTTTTATATGTTATTATATTTACATTGCTTTCGTGTGAGAGATAGTATTTCTATGTAAAAAAATTATACTTAAGATAGAGTCTTAAAAAGTATAAGTTGAAGTTAAAACTGAGTAATATACAAATGAAAAAGTCCATAAATCTAATATATCAAGATTTTGAATTAAAAGTGATGATATATATATATATATATATATATATATATATATATATATATATATTTGTGTAGTCTGTCCTAACAGCAGTGTTAATCTTCTGCAGAAATTTTCAACAAATTATGCATAGTTATTTTAAAACATCATGATTCTCTTGATGCAGGGTTTTGATTTAATATTAACTTCTTTATTAAACTATTTGTTCCAATCTATGTTTCTTAATTTGATGGAACATTCAGGTAAGCTTTACTGGTTCAACCCAAACGGGTCGGGAGATAATGCAGGCTGCAGCTAAGAGTAACTTGAAACAAGTTTCACTTGAATTAGGAGGGAAGTCACCTCTCATAATTTTTGATGATGCTGATGTTGACAAAGCTGCTGAGCTTGCTTTAATTGGCATCCTATATAACAAGGTGAAATTGCTTTAGGAAATCCTTTCTTAGTAGCCGTTGATTATTTCTTTGCCAACACTAAATTTCTTTCTTTGTGTGACTACAGGGAGAAGTTTGTGTAGCAAGTTCTCGTGTGTTTGTTCAGGAAGGGATCTATGATGAATTTGAGAAAAAGTTGGTGGAGAAGGCAAAAGCTTGGGTCGTTGGGGATCCTTTTGATCCCAAAGTCCAACAAGGACCACAGGTAAGAAAAATAGGCCAGACGCAGTTATTTCTGCACTATTTCTTGCAACTCCATAATTTAATGATTCAAAAAATGCTTAGCGACATACAAAATATAAATGAGAAAACATTGTGAAGCAAGTTCATCAATTGGCCATCAAATTTCTATATATTGTAGGTTGACAAGGAACAATTTGAGAAGGTTCTTTCATATATTGAGCATGGAAAGAGAGAGGGAGCTACCCTTTTGACTGGTGGTAAAACAGTGGGAAACAAGGGCTACTTCATTGAGCCAACAATTTTCTCTGATATAAAGGTGAATTCTAGATGCACCAAGTTATTAAATGGGTATCTAAAGCACAATTACATAACTAACCATCATTTTTCCTCTATAAAAACAATGAAATTACTGTTCAGGACGAGATGATAATAGCACAAGATGAAATATTTGGCCCTGTGATGGCGTTGAAGAAGTTTAAGTAAGTTTCTTTTGATGCTATCTTCTCATGCTTCATACTGACTATTGTTCTATTCTGATATTCATTATGTCAATTGTTATGATGTGGGAATAACAGGACCATCGAAGAAGCAATTAAAAGTGCTAATAACACAAAGTATGGCCTAGCAGCAGGCATAGTGACAAAGAATTTGGATACAGCAAACACTGTGTCAAGGTCCATTCGAGCAGGAACCATTTGGATCAATTGCTACTTTGCATTTGGTGATGATGTTCCTTTTGGAGGATATAAGATGAGTGGATTTGGAAAAGACCATGGATTGGAAGCACTTCACAAGTACTTACAAGTTAAATCGGTTGTAACCCCTCTTTACAATTCTCCTTGGCTTTGAATGTCTATTACACGGTCTTCACAATGTTATCATCTATTTGCATTTGTCATAAGGCATGGAAAAACAATGTTATCTATCATATTCTCAAATTTTGGTCTTTTCCTTTCTTTTAGTTGCTTTCACTCTGCTTTAGGCGAAGAAAAAAGAAAAATGAGTTTTATCCATTGATTCACACCTGTTAGTAATAATTTGTCATATTAGTTGAAAATATGTTAATTTAAAACATAATGGACAAAATAACTTCTAGAAATTATAGCTTTTATTTTTGTTCCTTACACCATCGAAACGAAAGAAATAATATCACAATAAAATACCATCAACGTGTATATTTATTTTCAGATGCATCTATAAGTATAATTCAGTAGGATCTCAGACCAACTTCTAAATAGAGAAAAAAAAAATTACAAATTTAAAAACAAAATTATATAACAGAGCTTTTGTTATATGGAGAGGGAAAGAAAGCCCAAGAAGCTAATATAGTCCAAACATACTTTAATAGATATGCTTCCTCTAAAATGAGAATGTAATATAAGCCCATTAATTGATAATGCATATCACAATCGACAATTTTCGTCATTTTCTTCTTTCTCCAAGTTGCAAGTCTTGTCCTTTTTTCCCTAACACAAATACATTTTCTTAAAATATAATTTTTGCATTTAAATTTAAGTGAGTATTATAAAAATTTTGCATTTACATTGAAAGAAGATGAAAGTCATGATTAACCTTTAAAATTTCGTTATTATAAAATGTTTAATTGATTTATGATTTTAAACTCATTCCAAAAATAAGTATAAATTTAACAAAATTTTATAATTAAAATAAGTATAACCATCAATTTCTACCTGCTCCATTATTGCATCATATATATAACAAATGAAAAGCAAAAGCAGTATTTGCATTCTTTAAATAAACAAGAATGGTGAGATGGAAGAATGATTTAAATATTTGAACACTACTTACTATTATACAAACTTAATGATATGATATGAATGATTGGGGTTAGGTGCCAATTGTTTTATATAAAAGAAAATAATCGTAATTGTCCACATTACAGTGTTAATGAACCTCTGAGACCAAACCCTAAACGGTGGCAAAGATGAGTGCTCTCTCACACTCCAGTAATGCCCACAACAATTCCTTCTTCACCATCCCCACCATCAAGTTCACCAAGCTCTTCATCAATGGCCATTTTGTTCATTCCATCTCAGGTTCTTCAATTTTATTAGACATACTCTCACTATTGTTTGTTACTCTTGTTTTCAATTATAAATTACTCTCTCTGTAATTCCTTCTTTCAATCACATTCATTTTCTCCTTTGCAGTGGTGTAGTCTCCCCCATCCCAAAAATTTTATTTCTTTTTTAAATTTATATACAGAAAAATATTTGCATATCTTTTATTTAAAATAAATAAATAAATGGACCCTCTTTCTTTTTTACTTCTTCGGTCTCTGCTCCCTTGTACTTATTTATTTGATTAAATAGATTTTTTTTCTTACCACTTCTGATTAATTGTTATGCAGTAAAAATAAATGCAATGAACCATTCTTACTTCAATTCTTTAAATATTTGAAAAATAATTAAATAAAGGATTTAAAAATTAATAACATCATATGAGTTCATTCTTATTATTAAGATTCGCTAAAATTTTATTTAATTATTTATTGCTTTGCATAATTTATTTTTTTTTCTTTATCGTTAAAACAAAAATTGTAATCAAGGATATACAGATAGAAATGAGAGTAATTGAAACTATTTCGATCCATGTTTATTACAATAATGTGACGAAGATATTATAATAATATAATAATATTATTAAGATTTTTTTACATTTTATCTTTTAAAGATATATAAAGATTTAGAAAAAAAAATTATCCTTCATTTTAATTCTTATACAACAACGTGAAACTTATAAATATATATAAAAAATCCATAAAATATAAAAATATAAACTAATCTAATATCATTTTAATTTTGATAATTAATTAATAAGTAAACCTATATATATAATTGTAATGCTCACTAAATTTACATTTAGCATTTAAAGAATTATATTTACTTCTCATTATAAAATAATATACCATCTTTATAAAAAGTAATTTGTGAAACAAATACAAGATTCTCTACATTAATAGTAAAAGTATATAGTGAAAAATGACTACTATGAGAAAAGAAGTCAAAATAAATATTTTCTTTATTTAATAACTAAAAAATAAAAAATATATATTATTTTTATTATAATATACATGTTTATCTTATGGAAAAAATAAAAAAATATATTCTACAAAATTATTCTCACTTAAATAAATAAATATTTATTTTTATATTTACAATTTTAATATATATATATATATATATATATATATATATATATATATAATTACCTATTTCAATGAAATGTCATAAATAATTATAAAATTAAATGAATAATTTAATATGGTATTGTTTTATTAATTAAATTAAATTTTTTATAAAAAATTCATAATAAAAAGTATTTTATACTTATATATTATAAAAAAATAAGATATTAATTTAAATATATCATTTAAAAAGTTATTTTATTAATAAAAAATTAATCAATAATTATATAAATAATTTTATGATTAAACAAAATATTTAATTTTAATTTAATTATTTATTATTTTTTTAAATAAACACTTTTATTTTATATTATTTTTTCTCGAACCAATAATAATATTTTTCATTCTATTTTATCTTTTTCTTTTCTTTCACACGTTTTTGTTGCCAAACACAGTAGGAGGCAGATAATAATAAAATTAATAATTTTTCACTTAATAATTTTATTTATTTATTTTTTAATATTATTTTTTTGTATTAATATTTTTATTCACTTATTATTTTTTTTAATATTAACTTAATTTCTTACTAAATTAATATTTTTTATTAGTTTTATTAAACTCTTCAATAAAAATATTATAAATATAATATGATATGGACGTTATTATATTTACTCATAATATAATATAATATAATATAATATAATTAATATAATATATTATATTATATTTATGCCATTGATTAATAATACGTCACTTAATTTAGATGTTTTAGTATAACTTAATTAACAAGATCAGTTTTTACTTTTTATTCAAAAACAGTGTGAAAAGATAATATTAATGAACTACAAACTTTCTTTTTAATCTTCTTTTTAGTTAATTATTTTTAATTTGAATAATTTTGAAACTATATTTATTAGTTTTATTTAAACATAAAATACTCTGGCATATATCTAACAAATTCGGTGTGGTTATTTATATTTAAATTAATTAAAAAAAAAAAAGGAAGGACATTTGAGACTATAGATCCAAGAACAGAAGAGGTAATTGGAAGAGTTAGTGAGGGAGATAAAGAAGACATCGATGTTGCTGTTGCAGCAGCACGTCATGCATTTGACCAAGGTCCATGGCCTCGCATGCCCGCCTCTGTACGTCATTCTTTTTCCTTTCTTCAATTAAATCTTCTTCATAACAAAAACAAAAAATGCTAATTAACATTGAGATCGATATGCTGCAACAGGAAAGGGCAAAAATTATGATGAAATGGGCAGAGCTAATTGATGAAAACATAGAAGAAGTAGCAGCTTTGGATACCATTGATGCTGGAAAGTTGTACTATTTCAACAAGGTTGCAGAAATTCCTTCTGCAACAGATGCTCTACGTTACTATGCAGGTGCTGCTGATAAAATTCATGGCAACGTGTTAAAAATGAACGGTGATTTCCATGCATATACATTAATGGAACCAATTGGTGTTGTGGGACACATAATCCCCTGGAATGCCCCTAGTCTCTCATTTTTCATCAAGGTTAGCCCTTGCCTAGCTGCAGGCTGCACCATGGTCCTCAAGCCTGCTGAACAGACTCCTCTCTCTGCTTTGTTTTATGCTCATCTTGCTAAGCTGGTGTGTATATCAACACAGTTTCACTTCCTTTATATTATCACAAAAAGGGTTGTCACAAGAAGTTTGTTTTAGGTCTAACTTGTACTTGGATTGCACAAAGTTACTTGAGTTTTGGATAATCTAATTGGGTTTGTCCCTTTTAAAGGCTGGAATCCCAGATGGAGTACTGAATGTAGTACCTGGATTTGGCCCAACTGCTGGTGCAGCAATAAGCTCACACATGGACATAGATGCGGTAATATAAATGATCACCATGTCAAATATTTACAAGTGTTAACATCTTCACTGAGTTTTACTGCTAAAATTTGAGTTTTCTTTAATGGTTGTGCATCTTTAGGTCAGTTTTACTGGTTCAGTTGAAATAGGACGTGAAGTAATGCAAGCTGCAGCTAGGAGCAATTTAAAACCAGTTTCACTTGAATTAGGAGGCAAGTCTCCTCTCATTATTTTCGATGATGCTGATATAGACAAAGCAGTGGACCTCGCACTCATTGGCATCATGTCTAACAAGGTGAAAATTTTAAGTGGCATCTAGTTATATATATATATATATATATATATATATATATATATATAAACTTTTCAAAAAATGTGACAACTAACTCATTTTTAATTTTGATCTTTGATCTTTGATCTTTGCTTATATGATTGAATGAGCCAAACTTTTGATTTTCAGGGAGAAATTTGTGTGGCAAGTTCTCGTGTGTATGTCCAGGAAGGAATCTATGATGAATTTGAAAAGAAGTTGGTGGAGAAGGCAAAAACTTGGGCTGTTGGGGATCCTTTTGATCCCAAATCGTTGCAAGGGCCTCAAGTGAGGATAGCATATACTAGCACCAGTTTTTGTACATTAGTTCTGAAAAAATTTTGGTCATTTCTTTCTGCTAACTCTTCAATTAGGAAAGTGATTTTTTTAGTAAAAAAAAATTCTCAAATGACACTGTGTGTTCTTGAATATTCTTACCCTATTTGCATAGCATACCGTTCGACTAAAAATAACAACTAGTGTATGTAGTTCAAAATTTAAGCAAACATGAGTTCACTTTCTCTTTGATCTCATTTTCATTCAAATTTTTTGGTAAAATTTATCATAACTTGTTTTCAATATAGGCTGACAAGAACCAACTGAAGAAAATACTTTCCTATATTGAGCATGGAAAGAGAGAGGGTGCCACCCTTTTGACCGGAGGTAACACAGTGGGTAACAAAGGTTACTACATTGAACCCACAATTTTCTCCAATGTCAAGGTATATTATATTTAATTCCATCAAAGTAGCAACGTGGGTTTCTTCAACATAGTTTGATATGTAGCTAAGAATCATGCTTCCATTTTGTCATAAAAAATTTCAAAAACTTATCTAGGAGGACATGCTCATAGCACAAGAGGAAATATTTGGCCCTGTATTGGCGTTGATGAAGTTTAAGTAAGTCACAATACACAATTCAAATATACAACTTTTATTCTTCTAGTAGAAAAAGCAAAAATGTTTTGTGGATTTGTTCATGAGCATGGAATTTAAGTACGACATACAAACAGGACAATGGAGGAAGCAATCAAAAGTGCAAACAATACCAAGTATGGTCTAGCAGCAGGAATTGTGACCAAGAACTTAGATACTACAAACACTATGTCAAGATCCATTCGTGCAGGCATTGTTTGGATCAACTGCTATTTTAATGTGGGAAGTGATGTTCCTTTTGGAGGGTACAAGATGAGTGGATTTGGAAGAGATTTGGGATTGGAAGCACTTCACAAATACTTACAAGTTAAATCTGTTGTCACACCTATTCACAATTCTCCTTGGCTTTGAATAATTCACTTAAGCTTGCTCATATGTATGTTTTTTTCTTATTTTCTTGTTTGGAGTAAACTATGCTTTAATTCCTTATGTAATGTGTTTTTAAAATACTTTGTCCCTTATATTATGAAGGCTTCCTTTTATTATCACATTGGTATTTTACCTTAATACATTATTCATCCATTTTATTTTAATAGTAAATATGTATTAAAAATAATAAAATCACTATTGACATTTTCATTGAAGTCACAGTTTAATGATATTTTTCATTTTAACAAAATAATTTAATTCTCTTAAAAAATAATAAGACTTTACAAATTCAACAAAGTTTAGCTTTTGTAATTTTGAACTCTTCACTTTTATTTTATTTTAACACGACTTTGTAGCCATGGCTGGTCATAACAAATTATTTTATAAACTATAATTCTAATTAAAACAAAATCTTGATATCTATGGGCTTACCAGGCTAGCCCGATCTTTGTGGGCCCAAAACGGAAATGTGTGTATTAATTAGATATCACAATTGCCCCGTGTTTATTATGGTCAAAATATTAACTCAAATATTCTCTAATTAATAATTTTAAAATAAATATTAAAATAATTTTAATTTTTTTTAGATAAATTTTGTGTAACTCTATTAATTTAGATAAAAATACACTCATTTTTTTTCTTTAAATCCTTACTCATAAAATTATTTGATTTTTTTAAAATAAATGGAACTGTGATTTATAAAATATTTTTAATTGATCCCTAAGACAAGGCTCCATTGCTAAACAATGAAATTAAAAAATATATATATATTCTTAATCTCAGATATGAATTTAACAGTATAAGATTTATTTAAAAAAAATTAAATAGTCATATGACCCTAGTAAAAAGATATCGATTATTTTATCCACTCCGTTGTTGAAATTTACGTATACTTTTCTATTGACTTTTTCTTAGCTAAATAGTTTCTAGACATTCTAAGTTTAGGAATGTTCATCACTCATTTTATCTTATTAAACTGAATCTAACTTGAAGTTAATGTTGGATATTTAGTATTAGAATTTAAATTCAAAATATCTTGAAAAGAGTTCAAATTATACTTTATATTCTTCCATTTGACCTACTGTCTTACTTTTTTTTTTGTTTAAATTAAACCATTTTTAAATAATTACTATCATACACTAATAATGAAATTTTAAATTAAAACAGCGTAATAATATTGTCAGTGTATATATATTATAAAATAAACACTAAATTTTATTTTATTTTTACTTCTTTTATTATCATATTCTCCTTTTATCATCATTTTTCCATCACTTTTATAATATAATATTCTTTTTTATCAAATAAAAAAAGAGAAAAATAAATAACACATATAAAAAGCGAAAAAACTTGTCAAATATATATTTTAAAATAAATTAATAACAACAAATATATGGACACATACTATTTAACACTCGAATTTCCAAATATATATATATATATATATATATATATATATATATATATATATATATATATATATATTTGTTAGTGGCAAATCGAGAAAAGCGATCGAAATCGAAGGAAAGAAATGTGACTCGATAAGATAAACAAAAATTCATTCGATGTCTAATTAGAAATACGTAGCACATAGCATCGAGAAGCACGATTGAGAATCGAATGAATTATAATCAAATGACTTGTTGTCGAATAAAAACTAAGTCATATAAGACCAGGGTTAAAAAGGAATCGTAAGCAATTCGAAGTTCTCGAAAAATACGGAATCGAGAGAAAAGAAAGCCAATATGGACATCGAGACTTTGGCCAAATCGTGAAAGGAAGTAAGTCGAATGCACGTATAAAGAGCGGTTTTGAAATCATGGGAAAAGTCGGAGATCGTGAGAACGTGGGAAACTATAGAAGATAAAGCGTCATACGCACGTAGAACGTGGTAGCGATCGCGTTAACTGCTCTCGGAAGGCTTGAAGGATGCCCTATAAATAGAGCAAAGGAGGAAGGAACAAGGGAGCAGAAATTGGCGGAGAACGGGATCGGTAGTGAAAAGTCTACGGAGAAACGACGAACACCATGAAGCTTACGGCAATCTGGATTTCCTTGCTCACTGAGTACATTTACCGCTTTACGTATTTTCCTTGGTAATTTATTTTGATGCAACTTAAATTCAGCAATTTTATGTTTACGTATTTTCGATTCCTTGTCCATTTCAATTCAATGAAAATTTGAGTTTTTGCATTTAGATGTCCATGTTATTTAACATTACTGCAAATCTCAATTTCCTGTCATTTACTTTTCTTGCAATCTCGATTTCTTGTCATTTATATTTGCGTTGTTTTCGATTTCTTGCTATTTACAATTAATGCAAGTTTGGGGTTTTCGCACTTTACATTTCCTCGCAATTTAACATTACGCTTTTTCGATTCGATAGTCTTAATGCTTTCGATACTTTAAATACAAAACACCAAAAACGGCGTTTTCGATATCCTGTGATTTTCGATTCTCATACACGTTTTCGATTGAAAATCAAATTGCTAGCCTAAGTAAAAAGAACTTACGTGGTAGGATTTCGATTAAAGACCAAGACACCTTTAGAATCGAAATCGATCGAAATTCCACCGAAACAAATTGGCGCGCCGAGTAGGGGTGTCTTGTGTTGAGAAACACAAAATTGGTTAGTTCGAAATTGTATGAGATTAAGGAGTGGGAGGGTCATGAGTCGAGTTCATCGAATAACCGGGGTAACAGTGAGGGATTAAATGGATCACACCCACCAAATGCTGGGGGCAAAGTCATAATGGGAACACACACGTAGTATCGACAAGCTGTGAGCATGTCGATACTGTGAGTAGTGAACAAAATTCAGGTACATTAGCAAACACCCAAGTAGGATCTAGTACGGTGATACCAAATAATATGCAAACTATAGGAAATCCCACAACCACATATGTAGGGCCACGTATGAGTGTAAGACCGCCGGGTTTTCACTTAATAATGTGAGTGGGGTTGGAACTTCTTCAACGCATAGGAATTCGAGATATAACTTAGGAATGTCCCAAACACTAGGTATGCCACAAAATTTTGGAATCCCTCCGAATTTAGGGACGTCGCAAAATTTAGTAATTCCCCGGAATTCGGGGAATGGACAGAATGTAGGCACACAACGAGATACCTCCAAATCTAGATCGGAGGGGATACTTAGATCATGGGAGACATGTATTCGATAGAGACTATCATCGATCTAATTTTGATTCTATCGAAAATATGGGTACCGGAATATCTAGTAATTCATTAGGGGTACTTAGACAACAAATGGATGAGAGTAATTTTGAAATGGTGAATATGTTATCACAACAATTGACTACGAGTCTTAAATCCATTAGTGCAAAACACTACTTGCTAGCTTTGAGATATTAGCGAGACCAAATGTCACGAATCGGGGATGCATTGGCTGTGCCTCGACAAACGAGGATAGAAAATCATGCTAATCGGAATACTAATATTAATCCCCCATATCTATTGAGAAGAAATAGAAACAATGATCAACGACGGCGTATGGGAAATGAGTATCAAAATGTGAGGAATGATATTTATGGGAATTTGAACGAAGGATTTCAAAATATACACAATCGGAATAATATGTTGGGACAAAGGATGAATTTACAAGGGATGGAATTTAGACCACCCAATCGGACATATTTTGTGTCTCCCTTTCCGAATGCGATTCTCGAGACGGAATTGCCTCGAGGATATAAAGTACCCAAATTCACTAAATTTCTTGGAGAAGTTGGTGAATCGACTATCGAGCATGTGGCTCGATATCGGATCGAATGCGGGGATTTAGCGATGAGTGAAGAATTAAAAATGAAATATTTTCCTAGTTCTTTGACTAAGAGTGCTTTTACTTGGTTCACGTCATTGCCACCTAATTCGATATATAATTGGCTGCAATTGGAAAGAAATTTTCATGAACAATTTTTTAGAGGAGAAACTCAAGTGAGTCTCATCGACTTGATGAATATAAAAAGATACAATCATGAAAGCATAGATGATTATTTGAATCGATTTAGACAAATGAAATCGAGATGTTTCACTCAAATTCCTGAATATGAATTAGTCAGAATGGCCTCTGCAGGTTTAGAATTCTCGATTAGGAAAAAACTAGTCAATTTACCATTAAATGACATGGCTCAATTAGCTGATAAAGTGAGAAGAGTGGAACAAATCGAGTATGAGAAACAAAGGTATAAGAAATATGAGAAACCTCTAAAAAAGGAAAGAATAGCATACATAAATGATGTATATGAGACGGATAATATGACGAGAAAGTGATATCGAAGAAAGCGTCGATGAGAAAGTAAACTTAGCGAGAACTCAAAGTAGGGGCTCCATATACACGTAAATTGCTACAAAAGAATGAAGTAAAAGATAAAATGGCAAATCGAACATATACTTTTGATGTAACAAAAGCGGACAAAATCTTTGATATTTTATTGAAAGACAAACAGATTAAGTTGAGTGATGATCATAAAGCTGCAGTACTGAGAACAAAGGAATGGTCGAAAATATTGCAAATTTCATAATGTTTATGGACATTGGACTAACAATTGTATACATTTCGGGAACACCATCCAAGATGCGATTGACCAAGGAAGGTTGAGGTTCGAAGAAATGACAATGAAAGTTGACACGAGTCCATTCGAGGCCCAAGTTGGATACCTCGAATCCCAAACGGGCATTCTCGATGATGTCCAGATTAACAAATTCGGCCTTTATAGGCATGGTAGATGTCACTGAAGACATCGATCCTAAGCACGTTAGAATGGACGTGTCCGAAGAAGATATGGAATTTGACACTGAGTGAATTCGAGAGAGAGTTCGAAAAGGAAATATACCCTCGATCGGGAGATTCTCTCATTGAATTTTTGAATAGGAAAAAGGAAAAAGACGAAGATGTGTCATTATGCCCACGTTGTAATGCGGTGTTCGATAAATCGAGCTGCCAAAGCTTTCGAACGAACGAGATG